GTTTGAGCAGTTCCTTTGGGTGGGTTATGACGTTCAGAATTGATAAGTTTGCCCTTCTGATTTTAGGTAAGGTTTTTTTTTTTTTTTTTTGGTTTTTCGAGACAGAGTTTCTCTGTGTAGCCCTGGCTGTCCTGGAACTCACTCTGTAGACCAGGCTGGCCTCAAACTCAGAAATCTGCCTGCCTCTGCCTCCCAAGTGCTGGGATTAAAGGCCTGCGCCACCACCGTCCAGCTTGGTAAGTTTTCTAATCGCGTCCAGTGAGTGTCCTTCCCAACTCATTTTCTCCCTGACAGAGCTTTGCTTAATTCACGCTAGAGTTAGTTGTATTTTGTAAGTACTCCCCAAATAGAGAGAAGAGGCCGAGGGAGGGTAAGAGGGGGAGAAGGTTTATTGTATTAAATGTGATTCAGATAAAATGATAGTCTGATGGAGAAAATACCCAGTTAATACTAAAGAGGCGTCATAGATTCTCAGCCTTTTGGAGTTGAAAAGGATCTTTGATTGCATGTAATCAAACCTCTTATTTAACTGATGAGAAATGTGTGACACAGAAAGGTTAATTTATGTCCCACAGCTCGATAATGGCTTAGTTACTCCATATTCAAGTTAATGGTTCTTTTAACCACGCCAAGGCAACTTTTGCAAGACGTTCCCATACTCCAGTCCTGTGATTCCTCGGCCTCCAAAGCCTAGGAGCCATTCCTGTGCCATAGCTTGTAGTAATAAAAGAAAGTTCCCCTTTAGAAGCTGAACTTTCTTTATCTATCTTTGGGAAAAAATTTTGCCACATTTTAATAGACATCTTTTACTTTGGTTTTGAAATTATAGAGTTTATTTAAAAGTAGAAGTCAAAAGGGATAGGTGTTTAGCTTCGAGGAGAATTAACAGATAAGGGCTCTCGCGCACGTGTGCGAACCACACACACACACACACACACACACACATACACAAATAAATGAATGCACGCATGCATGCGCACGCGCTTTCGTGCAGCCACACACACATGCAGCCACACACACACTGAAAGGAAATATGCTTCATCTAAAAATAGCTTCTTTTTGTGGGTTGGAGGTGAGAGCATTGTTGTTAATATAAAAGGATTGCTTTTCAAAATATCCTGTTACTAGCCAGGCATGGCCAACATACCTGTCTGCAATCCTAGTGTTTGTATATGGCCACCAGAGGATCAGGAGTTCAAAACTAGCCTTGGCTACAAAGAGTTTGAGACTCATCGGGGCTGTATGAGATCTTGCATAAAAAGCAACGACAAACAAAAACTTAAGCAAAATATTTGTGTATGTCTTCTATTTTTGTTTTTGTGGAGAGGTAGGGTGGCGCTCAGGACCTCTTCCATGCTAGGGAGGGCTTAAGCAGTAAGCTAATCTTCAGCTTAAAATATCCCATCTTTATTTTGCCAAGCTTAATGGATCAATCAGCTGTCACCAGTAAGACTTGACCTCCCATCCCATTTAAAGTAAAATAGACTATAAAAGTGGAAAGTAAGTATAAATTTATGTGAGAGTAGTGTGTTGTTCTTATGTTTAATAGGCCCTCCCTGGAACTATCTATTTCCATAGGCTACATTACTGGCTGAGAGCTGGCTGTAGAGCGGTTTTAGATTTATTGTAGCGTCGATGGCTGCATGCTGCGAAAAGTTTATGTTTTGTTAGGATTTTATTTTTACCGAGTTCTTTTTGATTATGCATTTCAAATATGTCTAAGACTTGTTTTCTTTACTTCTCTGTTTCTGCTTTACCCTCTACTCATTGTCTGTACTTTCTTGTTTTGAGTCTGCTCCTCCGTTAGTCAGCTTTTCGTTCCTTGTAACAAAATCCTTGAGGAAAACAAACAGCAAATAAACAAACGAACTAAAGTGAAGGGAACTTTCATAGTTAGGGTTTTACTGCTGTGAACAGACACCATGACCAAGGCAACTCTTATAAGGACATTTCATTGGGGTTGGCTTACAGGTTCAGAGGTTCAATTCAGTATTATCAAGGTGGGAGCATGGCAGTATCCAGGCAGGCATGGTGCAGGAGGAGCTGAGAGTTCTACATCTTCATCTGAAGCCTGCTGGTGGAATACTGACTTCCAGGCAGCTAGGGTGAGGGTCTTAAGCCCACACTCACAGTGATACACCTCACCTACTCCAACAAGGCCACACCCACTCCAACAGGGCCACACCTGCTCCAACAGGGCCACACCTCCAAATAGTGCCACTCTCTGGGCCGAGCATATACAATCCATCACAGGAAGGGAGTTTTATTCTGGCTCATAGTTTCATGGCTTGTGGTAAGAAGGTGAAGGCCCACGGTTGTCCAAGTGCACTCTCGGCCATTCTCTACCTTATTCAGTGAGTCAGAGTCTCACAGTCAAATCTGTAACTTTCCAACGTGGCTTCTCCTGCCAGGCCTGCTTGGTCTGACTTTCCCTTTCTCCACCTTCCGAGGCTACAGTTCTGGGCATTTGCCATCCCACACAATGCTTGTGCTAGCTCTGGGGATCTCAACTCCAACCTCATGACTACCTGGCAAATGCTTTAGCAACTGAGCCATCTCCCCAGCCTTTGATCAATTGATCTATCTATCTATCTATCTATCTATCTATCTATCTATCTATCTATCATCTGTCTGTCTGTCTGTTATATTATCACTGATATTTGCTTCATAAAATATAAGCCTCTGTGCTCAGAGAATATTGAATGGAAAAGAGATAATCCAGTTGTTTGGAGGTGCCTTGAATCTTTGATTGTTGTTGTTTGCTTTTATTAGTGAGCAAGATGCCTAGATTACTGCTAAATGAACCACCTCAGGTGGCTTTATACTTTCTAGCCTAAAGCAGGCATTTTCTTCCTTTGTATTTTGACTGAGAAATAGCCTGGGCTCCTCCCAACACTATGTTTTGATGCAACAGGTAGACAAATAAATATCCGGGGAATGAAATCTCAGTGTTGGGTACCTGGGATTTTTGCAGTCTCTTCCTGGTGACTGGAAGCTGTTTTCACACTTTCTTACCATGGCATGAAAGATTCACACACTTTAAAAAAAAACAGCAAACAGTTTTAATTTTTATTTTATTATTTTTTAATTGAAGATAGATTCTTCTTTCATACAATACATCCCTGTCACAAGTTTGTCCTCCCAGCCTCTCCCATGTCCCCCTTTCTTTCCTGAATTCAGTCTTTTATGAACCTACAGCTGATCAGAGATCCAAGTGTGTTCTAGGAAAGAAAGCTTAGCACTACTAGAGGTAGACATTGTGTGTATATGGGGTGTGTGTGTGCTTGTGTGTGTGTGTGCTTGTGTGTATGTGCTGTATATGTCATGTGTGTGCTTGTGTGTGTGTGTGTGCGCGCACTGTGTGTATGATATGTGCTCCTCTGTGTGTTGTATGAGTCTGCACTATATATGTATGATATGCATGTGCTTGTATGTCTGTACTGTATGTGAGTGTGCTATGTGTGTGATATGCATATGCTTGTGTGTGTGTGCTGTGTGTGTTACAAATATGTGCTTGTGTGTCTACTGCATGTGAGTTTGTGCAGTGTGTGTGACTATAATATATGTTTGTGTGTGTCTGCTGTGTGTGCTTCTGTCTGTGTTGTGTGTGTCTGTGCTGTGTGTGATATGTATATGTCTGTGTGTCTGTGTATGTGCTATGCATGTGTTTGTCTATGCCTCTGTGCTTGTGTGTGTATTATTGGAGGTAATATTCTTGGATCATCAATTTATGTGAGCTACACATTATTTCACTGCTAGATATACACATACCATATTCATTCCTTTTTTTTAAAGATTTATTTATTTTATGTGTATGAGTACACTGTAGCTGTCTTCAGACACGCCAGAAGAGGGAATCAAATCCCATTACAGACGGTTGTGAGCTGCCATGTGGTTGCTGAGAATTGAACTTAGGACCTCTGGAAGAGCATTCAGTGCTCTTAACTGCTGAGCCATCTCTCCAGCCCAATTTCATATTTTTTTTTGTCTAGCTTTGCCTTTTTGCTGACTTTGTTTTTTATCTACATGTGAAATAAAAAAACATATTGAATTATGTATATAAGCATATAAATAAATTATATATATTTAAACAATTTATATGTGATACAATGTGTAATTACATATCGAGTAAAAAGTTTTTTTTTTTTTTTTAGAGAGAATGAACGCATGTGTCACAGGCCAACCTTGAACTTTCCATGAAGCCAAGGGTGTCCTTGTTCCTCCTGTTTTCCCTCACAAGTACTGAGTGCTGGGACTCCAGGTGTCCTTAACCCCAAATGAATAAATATTTTAAAATGCAGCAGAGTGGTGGTGGTACACACCTTTAATCCTAGCACTTGTGAGGCAGAGGCAGGAGATTCTCTAAGTTCAAGTCCAACTTGGTCTACAAAATGAGTTCCAGGACAGCCAGGGCTTCATAGAGAAACCCTGTCTTGAAAAACCAAACCAAATAAAACCAAACCAACCAACCAACCAACCAACCAACCAACCAACCAACCAACCAATTTAAAAATGTCACACGGTTGTGGTATCTACCAGAGTTGTTCTCAGTCCCAACTCACTATGATACAGGGTGATGTCTTGCAGAGTTAGGACTGTATGTGGGATGCTGAGTCTGAGGCGGGTTTGCCACATCATGGCATCAGAGGAGAAATGGGTAGCGACCTGTCTGATGGACTACCATCATGGACTGTATTTGTTGGTGAAAAATCTTTCTGTGTTAGTGTTACTAACGACTTCTACAAAATAATTAGCTTTGCTGTTGATGCGATGAAGAGAGGTGATGGGCTGTTCGTCCTGATTCTTGGCATTTCCAGTTGGGAACTGCATTCCCCTGCTTCTGAAGGGTCATGAGTTGGTGCGAGGGTTCTATAACCTTGGGAGAGCTACATGAGTTGATAGGGTCAGTCTGATTAGAGGGCTCTAATTTTTTGTTTCTGCTTGTTCTTATATAGCTCCCTGAAGGATGAATTAAGGAAATAGGAGGCATAGTCATCAGCATGGAGAGATATTTGGCAGTTTCGAAGAACCGCAACTCATCCTCCTCTTTCGAAATGATAACCGGCCCAGCCAATGGGAATGGGAATCTTGACTCAGGTAGGATTCTGCGCAGATACGGCACAGATACAGCAGCTTTCAAGTTACAAAGCTTTTGCGTCAGTGTTAATATTGACCATACAAGACAGAGTGGCCTAGGTTACAGTTAGGGGATACGGCATGTCTAAATTCCGGTGCCTTCTGCTGGTAAATGTCTGTAAGTATCTGTGCTGTCATTACGGATGTCATGGGGCTCTCTTGCTTAGAGAATGTACCATTCCTCAGCACTACCCCTCAGCGGTGTCCCAGGTTAGTTTTAATGGGAAATGAAGAATTATGAGATAAGACGTTACCGGCATACTCTCCAAAGCAGCAAGCATGCCTTTGGAAGTATGAGGTATGAAAGAGATTTAGATCCTGTGAGTTTGTGTGATATGATTGGATAAAACAAAGCAAAAAATAAACAAAAAACTCCAGATTGTGTTTAATTGGATTTTAATATTTAATGAATTTAAAAATGCATCTCTAAAAATATTTATGCACTGATTTATTTTAAAAGTATACTTTTTTTTTCTGAAAATAGAATTGCATGATTTATATATATATCAGCAAATTAAATAAGGGCAAGAGAGCCCTATGAATCATTAATATTTGCTACGTGAATTCATACAAAATGTTGCCCATTAACTTAGGGGGAGAGTTAACCATTGTCAAATGAAATTATCAAGTTTGTCCTCACTTTGAAATAATGAAGTGTTCGTGTGTGTGTGTGTGTGTGTATTTGCATGTGCTCCAGTGCAAGCATGTACACGCTGTTCACCTCAAGTATCTTTTTCAATTGCTCTCCATCTTATTTATTTTTATTGATTATTGATAATAGTTGAAGCAGAAATTTGTAGGTCACATGGGTGTGTGTGTGTGTGTGTGTGTGTGTGTGTGTGAAAGGACAACTTTTGTTCTCTTAGGTCATCAGGCATCTGTTATAAGGACCTTCACCCCCTGACTTTTTCCACCAGCCTTCCACCCATGTTTTGAGGCAAGGCCCCTTGCTGACCTAGGGCATCTGCTGGTTTTGCTGGGCTGGCTAACCTGTAAGTGTGTCTGCCTCTCTAGCACCAGGGTTATAGACATGCATGCATCACTATGCTTGGCTCTCCTGTGGATGCTTGGAATCCAAAGCTAGGTCCTCAGGGTTGTACAGCAAGCACTTCACTGACTGGCGTGTCTCTCTAGCCACACTTGTATTTTTTGTTTTGTTTTGTATGATGCTGGAGATTGAACCAGTGACTTTGAGAATGCTAGGAAGGCACTGCTCTAGTTGTCCTACCTGTAGTTTGTGTGTGTGTGTGTGTGTGTGTGTGTGTGTGTCTGCGGAGTGAAGTAGTCTTACACTCTCACAGTTTGGAAGTTCCTGGCCATTGCCTGGATTTTTATAGCGCATCCTTTGCACACATCGCTGTTCTGGGGCTGTGTCACTTTCAATGATAAGTTTTCATTTTCACGCAGCTGCCATATTTCTCCTTAGCGTAAGTAGATTCTGAAGCTCATTACGGATAATCTACTGTCAGGAAATTATTCTTACTGACAAATTCTTCAGGATGATGTCAGAGTCTGGGGGATTCCAGACTGAACGAGCATCGTAGATGCTCATTCGTGGTTTGTACTTTCCTTTCGAGTAGTGGATGGCTTAAATCATGCACGATGCTCTGATCTTTAACACTAAGATTTCTAAGTAATTCTAAATTATGTTGGTATTTTGCAGCCTCTGACCCAAGTCTTTCTCATTGAGCTGAAGGCTTACGTGTCCCTGTTTCTTAGTATTTCATTATGTCTTTGAGATAAGGAGGCTTTGATAGTGCTACCATTTCTGTAGATTGAATTGAAGTTTTGTGTGTATGAATTTTATACATGAGTACAATGGATTTTCATCATACCTCCATCTCTAGCATGTTCTGTGTCCCCCCCCCCCATTGCCTCTCTCAAGTTTATGTCTGCTTTCTCCATAATTATTGTTGGTATACTTATATAGTCTATCGAGGCCCATTAAGTGTTGCTTATTTATACTTTATGAAAGACCTGACTTCTTGGACATGGGGAAGCTATCAGGGGGCTTGTCCCGGAAACAAACAAATAGCCATCTACTGCCTGTAGCTCCTCAACTATGGGTGGGGTGGGTCTATGTATCCTTCCTTGGTGTGTTGGATATTGGATGTTGACTGGTGTGGTCTTGTGTGGATGAGCACATGATGCCAGGAGTTCATGGGTGCAACATAGTGCCTCAGATTTTAAAAGTGAGTCTAAAGCTATAGACTAAAAAGAGCAATTTATCCTCTAAATCACACCTAGGTTTGAACCGTACAGCAGATAACATATCTTAAAGATGAGGAAACTGGATGCCAAGGTTAGGTTGCTGTGGTGTGGTGTGTTGGAAGCACCTGTACTGAAGTGGGACACCCATGTCATTAATCCTGACCCCGCCTCCCTGCACAATTCAGATTCCCTTTTTCTTCTTTCTCCCAGCCCTTCTCCCTCTGTTATGTTACAGACACATGATGGTATCTCATTAGCCATAATGCTAACTGCTCGAGGGGTTGAGACAGGGAGATCATGAGCTTGAAGCCAGCCTGGGTTACAGAGGACAAGATTATGCTGAGGGTTTGCCAGCTGAGATGTATAAACAGGGCTGGAATATATAGCTCGCTGGTAGGGCAGTTGTTTAGCTTGTGTGAGATATGTGAGGCCCAAGGTTCAGAGGGAGAGAGGGGGCTGTGGAGAGGGACAGAGGAGAGAGAGAGAGAACACAAGTCAGCCTCTACAGTGCTCTCTGAGAAAACAATTTTGCCTGATGATCAGGGGACAGTAAACTAGTCTGGTGGCTTCAGTGTGTTTCCCTTTGCTTTTTTTTTTTCTGCCCACTCTGTCCGTGGGCTGATTTAGTGCCTTGCAAGGATGATTCTTTCATGGAATCTATCCCAGCTGAGACTAACCTGAGTTCACTGGTAGGTTTTTTTTTTCCTCTTTCTTTCTTTTGGCTTTTGTTTAGGAGAGCTCAGATTTTAGCTGGGATCGGGAACTCAAACGTGAGAGTCCTGTTCTTGAAATAAGACTAAGGGACACTTCCCCCTAGAAACAAAGAGAGTGTGTTCCTGAGCTAAGTACAGCTAAACAAAGAGGAACCACAGGTCTCCCCAGCGGGCAGAGCATCCCACAGTACCCCAAGGCATGCAGGAATGAGCCCACTGAAATTGGATGGCTGGACTTCTGTGTGTCTTCCATCAGAATGAAAGGGAGCAGAATGTGGGGCTACTGTAATCAAATGGTTTCTGAGACAGGGTATATGTGCAAGCCTGCTCAGTGTAGTTTCTCATTTGGACCACATGCAGCCTAGGAAACAGAAGAAAGCTGAACGTGTAAACTTTAGTCTTACAAATAAATAATAATAATAATAATAATAATAATAATAATAATAATAATATAGGGCTAGAGAGGTAGCTCAGTCAATAAAGTCCTTGACTTTAATCTCTGAGGACCTGAGTTTGATCCCCAGAACCCTTGTGAAGAAAGTACACTTGTCACCCTAGTGCTAGGGAGGCAGAAATGCGGAGATCTTCAGACTTGCTGACCGACTGGCTCCTGATGAGTGACCCTTGGCACCTGCATGCACACAGTCGCAGACATCCTCACATACATGAACACACTTATAATGTGCACACACAAAGAATGTTTATTAAACATATTTCTCTCCATATATATTGTGGATCCTGTCTATGGGTTAAGAATTCTTTATGTGATTATGGCTTTCCCAGGTTAGACTTGAATGTATTAATTCTCCTGTCTTAGTCACCGTGGTGCTGTGCCTGGCACTCCCTGAGAATATATCATCCAGACAGCCAGGCCTCTTTTATTTGGGAGAGCATGGGTCAACACACTTAGAAAAAAGTTCAGGGCTTACTCTTCATTGTGAGAACTAGTTCTTGTGGGTCAATATTTGCACACCCACATACACACCCTCACCCCCTACCCGTGTTTTGAACTTGAGGCTGCAGTTGTGTGCTCAGATCCAGGGTGGACTAGCAGCTGTAGCTCCTTTCTGGGTTATTTAGAGTACTGTTCACAACTGCCCTGTTTTCCTCTGCCAGTGGTGGGAGGAGCTACCGTTATCTAAAGATGATTTAAAACCTTCTTCCTATCTCTTTTCACGTTTAAAAAATTACTTAACATGTGAGAGATTGTCCTCTTCAAGATTTTGTTCATGGGGAATCTGCCAGTTTCTGGAGCCCTGTATTGTAACAGTTACAGGCAGGCTTTAATATCCAGCCTTGCAAAGCCAGGCTCCCTTCAGATTGTAAAGTGAGCTGATCCCCGGCTTTTATTAAGAAAAAAGATGTATGGGCCACTTGTTTATTATATTTTTATTTGAAGTCACTTGTGCTCCGGCTTTTCATAAGACATTCTATTTATGTTTATTCTGGAATATTCTGGTCCCACAGATAGCTTTCTGTTAAAACCAAACCAAGCTGAACTGCTGTTTAATGAACACGCCTGCTTTCTTTGTAAGGTGTGAAGTGTTCATAGTAGCTTTTCATAGTGGGTTTTCATGACATCATGGGAAATGCCTCCCCCTTGACCATTTATGATGCGGGAGTTGTCAGAGTTTCCTTGATAAAATGTTTGTGGGTTTAAGAGGTTTATGGATCAGCTGTAAATATTTTCTCTTGCTTTATGAGATCTCTCCTCATAAACATCGCGTGTGTTTACCGATTGCTCATTGAACGTGCCTTTAGAGAATCAACTGTTTGGGCACACAGGCCCGAGGAGGGATTGTACGTGGCAAATTTTAACAGGCTGTGTTATGAGTAAACCTAAGTTTTGTATATAGCTTTATTGTTCCAACAGCGTGGCTAGAGTTCCCAATGTTGGACATACAATTTTTGTGTTATTTAATCTCACTCTGGGTCTGGCATGCAGCTTATTTTTATGAAGTGTTTCTGTAGTAGGCCAGAATGACTCGTTTGCTTCGGTGTCTTAGATCCTCCAGATCTCATATCTTCCTAGCTTAGGTTGGATCTCAGGACCTAGACACTTTTTTGAAAGCATGGCTGTGTTCCCTTGGGATTTTGGTTTTAAGCATCTTTATTGGCATACACTCAAGAGCAGCTGTAACAAACCTCAATGTGAATAGCAACATTTAAGGTCATCCTCTTCCATGAGCTTCTTTTAGCTGGGCCTTGTGGTACACAGCTTCTTGGGATGCTGAGGCAGGAAGATCACATATTTGAGGCCTGTTTGGGCTAAATGGCCAGTTAGTGAGAATATTTTAAAAGGTAATATTAGCGTTTTCTGATTATAAAATAATCTTGAGAAACGTTATGTACATTTGGTTGTGTGTGTCCTTTCCCTTGAGATTTGAGGAGCACATAATCTGTCAGCTTCTGTTGGTGTGAGAGGCTTTGAGAACTCTTTTATGGCAGGAGACAGGGCTCTGCATGGGGTAGACATGTCACTAGGGATCACATTAAGGGTGTCAGGCAGCTGGTACGTTCTGTCAGTAACTTGCAGGGAGACCTCAGTTTATTCAAGTGATCTTTCTGCAATACTCCTTACAGTGTGTGTGTGTGTGTGTGTGTGTGTGTGTGTGTGTATGCATGTTTGTGTGAGAATGTATGTGTGTGAGTATATGTGTGTGCGCGTGCATGTGTGTGTATGCATGTATATGTGTGTGCATGTGTGTACGCACGTATCTGCCGGTTATTGTGTGCATGTGAGTCTGGAGCCAGAAGAGGAAGGTGGATCCCTTGGAGCTGGAATTACAGGTGGTTGCTGGGAGCCAAACTCAGGCCGTCTGTGAGGGCAGCAAGCAGTCTTAACTACTGAGCCCTCTTTCCAGCCCAATGTATTTTTCTTAAAATGTTACTGAAGTCACAGTTTTATAAAACTCTGTTAGTTTTCAGTCTCCAGCCTCAGTGCGAAGGTAGTTTGGTGCCTGTATATAACTTGGCCCGTGCTTGGGGCTGGAAGTGTCTCTTTGCACTTCGTGTAGCCTTCTCACACGGTGATGTCTACCATGGCTGATGTTAGGTTAATCCATGAATGTCAGCTAGTTAGCCTTAAGACAACTCTTACTCATTTGATTCAAAGCACAAATACCGCTTTTACTTTTGACAAGCCATCAAAGTATTGTTTCTTCTGCTATTTCTTTTTCTCTATATGCCTGACATCAAGGGTATCTTCCTTAACCAATCGGTCTCCACTTTTCGTCTTTGTTTTGGCAGACTCTCACTTAATCTGGAGCTCACTGATTTAGCTAGACTGGATGGATAGTGAGTACCAGGGATCCTCCTGTCTCAGCTTCCCTTTGATTACACACACACACACACACACACACACACACACACACACACACACACACAACGTTACCCATCATGACTTTTTATATGCTTTCTGGATATCTGAACTCAGGTTCTCATCCTTGGACAGCAAGCAATTTACCAAAGGAGCTTCTCTCTCCAGCTCCTCGTCCCCCTCTCCTTAACTCAATATTTCTTCAACAGCAAGCTGAAGTTCTTCAGAGAGTTCAACTATATCCTGTGAAGCCGCTGAGTCAGCTCGTGTCTCACGTGTTACCCTAGTGTTTATATTCTTGCTTTGTTTTGTGTTTCCACAGAGGATGATTCCAGCCTGGAGGATAATGACTTCAGCTGGGGAGACTATTTGGAAGAGACAGGTGCCAGAGCAGTGCCACACGTATGCTTCAGACATGTAGGTTGAGCAGCATGACCCTTCTGGTCTGTGGGAGGGAGGGATAAGGATCTGCTGGGTGAAACCCCAGAACCAGTCAGAAGAGAAGAGTGAAAAGAGAAGCAGAAACTCAGCTAAGATTTTGTAGGAAGAAGGTGAGATGGGGGTGGCGGTGGAGGGGTGAGGTAGAGTGGGGTGGGGGGAGTTTGGTTTTCTCAGATAGGGGCACATGAAATAGGACACAGCTTGATTCTAATTAAAAGCCAGCGAGTTAGGCAAGATGTTACATTAACGCCTTCTTAGTAGGTGTAATGACTGTATATTTTTATAATGTGGTATTTGGGGCTGAGGACTGGGCTCAGTTGATAGAATGCTTTCCTATCGTGCTCGAAACCCTGGATTTGATCCCCAGCATTGGCTAAAACTTGGTGTTGTGGTGCATCTGAATAACTCCAGCACAGGGAAGGCAGAGGCAGGAGGATTAGCAGTTTAATTTCAGGCTTTTTAGCGATCTTAAGGTTAGCCTGAGTCACAGGAGGCTTTGTTAAAACAAACAAACAAACAAACAAACAAACAAACAGTTATGATTTTGCAAAGCCACATTAGAGTTCTGTGGGTTTTAGAGGAGACATAAATCAGGGATCAGGACACAGCCTGAACATGTAGGTCTCACAAAGATCATTCTCCTTCATAGTACCTGTTTGTATTATTCAGCTAGCATGTGCACCAGCAGGCAAACCCTAGGAGAGACGAACAGGGTTCTTGCCAGATTTGTCTTAGTTATGAGCTCTTAGTTGGGAAAGATGCTGTCCCCACACCCAAGGTCATATGTGTGACTATTGTTTTAGTAAATTAAAGTTTATTTTCAAGAGATCTGTTTTTCCACTGGGCTACCCCCTCGGCAACTCAACCTCCTTTAGGGTTCGTTTTCACTCTTCAGCTGAACTAAGACAGCCACATTAATTTCTACTTGGAAGCGACATGTCCCTTTAAAGGAACATTTAAGACCTTCTTGAATTTGTAAGGGTGTACCCTCCTTTCCTTCTCTGTACCCCTCAGACTGTAGTTTATTCTGAACATGTTTGTGCCACGTAGTGAAACCAGAGGCCATGTTTTAAAGCACAACAAAGGTAGACTCCTCTCTGGCTTAGACAGCAAGGATCATGGCCCTGCAGAGACCTGGTGATTTCCATAGGGCAGTCTGGGAAGGAAAGACTGATTGACAGCTTCCCCCCTTCTCACTGTACAGTGAGCTCATATCTTCGGTAAGGGGTCACCTCCAGAAGTCTCTGACTAGTCACTTCTTACACCTCCTTTTCAGCTGAAGTAGATGCCACCAAATGGTGAAGGCTTCGGCAAACAGGCGGTCCTCTCTCAGGACCTCTGTATTCCTGAAGGAGGATGCAGGCGGCTAGCCTTCCAGATGCAGACTGTCCCCAGGCCTGTGTAAAAGATTCAGAAAAACAGTAGCCATTTCACAGATGACTACTTAATGGTCTGCTTGCTTTCTTTGAGGGTTCCCTTATGGTAGACCTCACATCCATTGACTTGGGGATGCTGCTTTTGTTTCTTTTGATTTTTGTCCTGGCAGTAGCTGCTGGCACTCTGAACAGTTGAGCTATATACGCGGAAGACTGTGTGGCTCTAATTGAGATACTCTCTTTGTTAAATTCAAGGTCTTTGGAATCACTAGCTTTTACATCATCATCACCATCATCATCACATTTAAATACAGCGTTTAATGTGGTCTAGGCTAGTCTCAAACTGTATAGCCAAGGATGACCTTGACTTGATTCTCTGGTTTCTACCTGCCTCTTTTTTTTTTTTTTATATGATGCAGTGCTGGGGGTTAAGCCCTAGGACTTCCTGCACAATTGGCAAGCACCCTACCAACTGAGTGACGTTTTCAGCCCTTATTTACTTTGTGGTGTTTCGAGACCATATCTAGTTGTGTATCCCAGATTGATGTAAATATGTGGAGTTTTTATGGTAGCCTCTAGGGTGCTGGGATGACTGGTGTGTACCACCATTCCTGATCACTCATGTTTTTAATATCATTAGTTTCAAAGTGCTGAATTTAATGGGTGTGGCTTCCCGAGTATTTAGCCTCTCCTTAGAGGCTCACGTTGTTTCTGTCTTCAATATATGCCTCTTTTAAGGCAGCAGGGATTATGTTTGAAAGTGCTTTGTGCATAAGTAGTTCTTAAAAATCTTTTGAGGCTTGTGACTAGTCTGATCATGGTTTTCCTGTGTTTCTGGTGTCTCAAGGTGGAGATCAGCATTCAGAGTAACTTCCAGCCAGGAATGAAGTTGGAGGTGGCCAATAAGAACAATCCAGACACTTACTGGGTGGCCACCATCATCACCACCTGTGGGCAGCTGCTGCTCCTGCGCTACTGTGGTTACGGGGAGGACCGAAGGGCTGACTTCTGGTGTGATGTGATCATAGCGGATCTGCACCCCGTGGGGTGGTGTACTCAGAACAACAAGGTGTTGAGGCCCCCGGATGGTGAGCTCGCATGTCAAAGGCTTTCATATCCAAGAGGTTTTTCTTCGTTATGCCTAATCCCTTGCTTGCCACAGGGGCAGAAGGGCCCTTCTATAAAACCCTGAGTGGGTTTAGTGCAACCGTTTCTTAGTTCTTTAAAACGTCTGGGGCATAATCATCTAGAGGATGCTGTGGGGTGGGTGGTAGGTGGAGTTTTGTTTACCAAGAATGGTTTTGATCTTTAGCCAGTTTGGTCAAACAGGAGGAAAAAGTGTTCAAGGCCAGTTTGAAGCTTGTCTTTGGATGGTAAGGAGAGAGGAAAGAGGAGAGAGTTTCCTCTTTGGGGATTAGATGTGTTGCTTTTACTTCTCCATCATTTTAGAGAATTGACAGTTTGAACAGACTTCTTTGTTTGAACTTAATTTGTTTTTAATTATATGTATGTATGTATGTGCTACTGCATGTAGCTGAGCACCTGTGAGCTCAGGAGCCCAGAAGAGGTCATTGGATCTGGAGTTACAGGTGGTTGAGTTCTGGGCCATCTGACATGGGTGCTGGGAACTGAACTTAGGCCCTGGACTATAGCAGCACACGCCCCTAACCGCAGAGCCTCTTCTCTAGCCCTCCTGCACAGCCTTCTTTTCTAAGTTTGCTTGGTCGCTTTCTTTTCTCTTCCCCTCCCTCGCTTACAACAAGGTCTTGTGTGGAGCAGACTGATGTCTCTGAACGTCTGATACTCCTGCCTCTACTTTCTCAGTGCTAGGATTTCAGACACTTGCCACCACACCCTGTATATGCAGGCTTCTGCATACCCTAGCAAACACTCTACCAGCTGAGCCACATCCCGAGCCCTGCACTTAGTTTTTGTTCTTCCTTGCTATGGGGAAACTGGGGCTATGAAACAAGGAGACAGCAAAGCCAATGAGAACTGACATCACTTAAAGCAGTGGTCCACACTCATGTAGGCATAAGGTCAGTTTAGTTGCCACAAAACAATGGTTCCTGATTGGGAGAGGCCTCTTACCCCCACTCCCACCCTGCAGACATCTGGCAATGACTGGGAGTACTTTTGTGTCTGATGGGAGAGAGATGCTACCAATACTTAGAAAGACCAAACCAGAGGTACTCCTGACACTCCAAGGCACAGGGCATCTTCACAATTAAGTATTATCAGGTTCATCCTGCCTGAAGTGCTTCTGTTGAGAGCTCCTGCTGGAGAAGAAGGCTGTGAGGAAGCTCCTCGGGTCTGTTAGAACTGAGTTCAACCAAATATCCGACTCTGATCATATTGTAAGATTAAAGCATCAGTGGTACCTGTCAGCTTTGCTCCAGTCTCTCAAGGATATTCCGTGATCTCCGTACACAGCTGTCTGCTCTTCCTTTGGCATAATCTATTTCCTTTTCCCTCTCCTTCCTCCTCCCCCAACTCTCTCCCTCTCTCTGGTCACTCTCTCTTTCCCCTCTCCCTGTTTTTCTTCTTTCCTCTCTCTTCCTCTGCTCCTCTCTTTTCCTCTCCCTCCTCTCCCCTCTCCTCTTTCTTTTGCTCCTCCCACACGCTCCTGATATAATATTTCTGGTTGTGGAGAACACTCAGTGGCTTTTATTTCCTCCCTTTGTTATGCATAATTGATGACTTGCTAAAAAGGGGTCATAAAATTGGCCTAAGCTCAGGAGTTGCCTTTGTGTGACATTTGTCAGGGTTCAATCCATTGCCTTGGCCTTAGTTGACATCGTGACCTCTCATTGTCTCAGAAGAAAGAGAGCGAAGGCATCCTTTTAGATCTTTGTGTCTCTTCTGTCCTGCCGGGATCAACTTGCCTCCTTCCTCCTCCTCTTCTCCCACTGGTCTCTGAGGTCAGAACTGATCTGTGCTCACAAACAAGGCCACTGGGACCTTAGTGGTGCTCACATCAGTAGCAGCAGTATGTTTAATGTAATGCAATTTATTAATGAATTAATGTTGCAAGGACTTTGAGATTACTAAGCAAACGCAATACTACTGAGCTCTGCCTGTGGCCCTGTATAATTTTAAACATAATTCATGTATTATAAAAGTCATCCCTCTAAGTTTGATGACTTTAATCTTATTCACAAGGTTGTGCAATGTCACTATTGAGGTGTGGGTGTTGTTTTTTTAAAAAACACCCCTAAATTGTTTCCCATTTTACCGTCTATAACTCCCAATCTACATTTTAAAGATTCACATTAAATATTGTTATTTGTGTGTATGTGTGTGTGAGTGCACACATGTATGTGTGTGTAAGGTCAGAGGACAGCATACAGGAGATACAGGAGTCCATTCTCTCCTAGGAGGGTCCCAGTTTTGGCAGCAGGCACCTTTACCCACTGGGCCATTTTGCCCAACTCCCCAGCCTGCTGGTTGCCCTTTAAACCAGCTGCTGTGTGACTCTTGCACAGAGTTCTGATGATGTTAAAGCTCTAAGAGCTCCTAGGTGCTTTTGGGATGCTCCCCGCTGTCCCTGGAGAGACAGGCACAGTTCATTCATCAGCTCTCCCTCCTCACTTGGAAGAAAAATATGGCAGTTGTCAAAGTCTCAGAAACACCATCAAATTTGTATCCTGCAGACTCTGTGCTATTAACCAAGACAAAGACACCCTTAAAATGACAAGATGAAAATGAAAAACGAGAAAACCCTAGAAAGAGGGTGACCATTAATGTGAAGGAAAGATGAGAAGTCTTTTCAAACAACAGTGGTGATGTCAGCTTGAGGATTTCTTCAGAGCCGTCTTGTAAAGAACTTAAAAAAAATTTACTATGTAATCAATATGACTTGGGAATCTTTAGTTCAGAGAACAAAGTCGGGAAATAGCAGGTTCATGGGGCAAGAGCTTTTATTGATTTCTGTGGGGAGGGATAATTATTGCTTCATAACCAGAGGCAATGGTTGTTCTACAGGGACTAGGGGGGATCTGTGTTTTGAATGGGGATTTTTGTTGTATGGTTTTCTTAGCGAGTTAATGCTATAAATATTGCAACTGTGCCCGGATAGTCTTTATCTTTGTTGTGGCTGAATTTAAAAGGCATTGAAAAATATGAAATAGCAACCCATGACCTTATGTTTCTGTCTGGGAAGCTCCATGGTGATGGGAGGTGTGCACAAGCACAGACACTAGAGCACTTGAGTGTGTGGTGTGTGTGTGTATGGTGTGTAGACCAGAGGACAAGTTTGTCTCTCTTTCCATAGGTCTACCATTTCGTTGTTGTTGTTATTGTTGTTTTAATCAGGCAGAGTCTCTAATTGGCCTTTAGCTCTCCAATTAGTCTGGAATGGCTGGCTAGGGAGCCCTGAGGATCTGTCTTTCTCTGCCTTACCAGCACTGGGATTGCAAGCTAATACTGTCAGCCTGGCTTCTGGAGACCTGGCTTATGTTGTTGAGCTTGCAAAGCAAGAACTTTACTGACCAAGCTCTTGCTCCAGCCCAACTGAGGCTTCTTACAAATCTCAGGAATCAAAGTAATGTAAGGGACACTGCTGTCAGAATAGAGATCTGAGTTCTTAGGAGCATCGCCATTGACTTAGTTACGTAGGTGAGCCCCCTCAGCCCTCCTCAGCAGGTCCATCTTTGAAATGAGGGCTTCTATAATGCAATCTCAGAGAGTTGACTGCCCCAACCTTCTTGTGTTTGTGGTCCAAATGAAAGGAGAACAGAAAAGTGTGGCTGCTTATCTCCCTATTTTATGCATGAGATATGGAGTATATTTTAGAATTAGGGTCTATGCATGTCGGCCTAGGAATCTCTGAATAGCACAGGAACAAAATGTCTGTGTGCCTGTTGGACAGTGGCATGGACTCTTTTTATTGCTGTGGTGACGAAATGTCCTAACGAAAGCAACTTAGAGAAGAATGGGTTTAGTTGGTTCACAATTCCAAGCTACAGTCCATTATGATGGCGAAGTCAAGGCAGGAACTTGAAACATTACATCCTCAGAGAAGAGCATCGAGAAAGTGAATGCAACTTTGCCTGCTTCTGGTCCTCCCACACTATCCAGCTGGGGTCCATCACAGTTAAGGGCAACGAGAGTTAATGCATCCGTGCTTGCTTCCGTTACTCTGGCACGATCCAAGGTCTTTCTAGTGAAATGGCACCTCCTGCAGTCAGGGTTGGGTCTTCCTACTTCAATTAACATTAAGATAGTTTTTGTTTGTTTGTTTGTTTTTCGAGACAGGGTTTCTCTGTGTAGTTCTGGCTGTCCTGGAACTCACTCTGTAGACCAGGCTGGCCTCGAACTCAGAAATCTGCCTGTCTCTGCTTCCCAAGTGCTGGGATTAAAAGCGTGCGACACCACTGCCCAGCTAACATCAAGATAGTTTACCAAAGACATGTTTACAGACCAACGTGACCTAGATAGTCCCTCAGTGGAGACTCCTTGAGTTGTGGCGTGTTACAGTTAGAAACTGACCACATTATATTATCTAGGATGGAACATGATTGCAATTGCTTTGGTAGAATGTCCATTAATCAACAATTAGAGTCTAGTTCCCTTTTCAATCTAGATAGCTAAGACATTCCAGTTTCCCACTGAGTGGTCAGGGAACAAACGATTATTGACAGCTTGGAGTATGTGGGCTTTTGCCTACTCTTCTGTGGGGGCACATAAACGGGGTCTCCCCTCAGGCTGAAGTGTCTGAGTTCAAGATCTTTGGATTAGCTGAAGTTGTTGTCCTGCCTTTGTGGTCACTTCATGGAAAAAGGAGCAATTTGATTGACTGACTGACTGACTGACTGACTGATTGATTGATACAGGGTTTTTATGGGGTGATAGTGACTGAAGCCAGGGCATTGTGCATGCTGATTAAGCACTCCATCCCCAAACCCAGATTTTATTACTTTAGATACCAGTTTGATGGGGCACAAAGACCTCGTTGCAGTACTAAGTTTTCTTGCCTCGCTGTTTTAACTCTATATCTTTGAACTAATACAGGTCTTCATAAATATGTGAAATGTCAGGGAGAAGGAAGAGCTGCACAGCCACGTTCCCAGTTCACGTTAGTATGGTG